AGAGAGAGATACCTGGGAACGGCTTGGGTGGCAACTATGTGATGGAGGCCATGGAGCTTGCGACTTCCCAAGTTTGGTTTCTTCCACCTTGACCCATCCTCTCCTATGAGATTCGAAAAGAACTGTTGAGTCAGTTTGTACATAAAAAGATGTCTCCAATTTCTAATGGTATGTTGGACATACAAAAGATACATACATATCAAGTCGAGGACACATGACATATTTTTTTCTTCACATACCAAGACTTGCCAACTACTGGCAACTTTATGTGAGATGTGCAAAACAACTTGGTAACTAACCAAGTTGTAGCGATTTTTTGGCACCAAACCAATTATGATCTCGGATCTCTTCAATTTAAATGCAAAAGCTGTATGGAGGGAGTGGAGCGGCCAAACCCAAACAAACATAGTCAAGTCGAGGGGGAGGAGAGACCTTGTTCCAGAATGTACTATTTTAGGTGCATATGCAGTATAACATTGTTAATTAATCAAAGATGACAAGAACTGTTAATCATGCAAGAATACAGGCTTGTTCCAGAATCTGGCAGAGCACAAGTGAAAGATCGAGGATGTCGCCTAGAGGGGGAGGGGGTGAATAGGCGCTTTAAAATAATTACGGTTTAGACTTGAACAAATGCGGAATAAACCTAGTGATTAATTTATCAAGCACAAAACCTACAACAACTAGGCTCACCTATGTGCACCAACAACTTATGCTAAGCAAGATAAACAACTAAGTGATAGCAAGATATAAGACAAGAAACAATATGGCTATCACAAAGTAAAGTGCATAAGTAAAGGGCTCGGGTAAGAGATAACCGAGGCACGCGGAGACGACGATGTATCCCGAAGTTCACACCCTTGCGGATGCTAATCTCCTTTTTGAGCGGTGTGGAGGCACAATGCTCCCCAAGAAGCCACTAGGGCCACCGTAATCTCCTCACGCCCTCGCACAATGTAAGATGCCGTGATTCCACTAAGATACCCTTGAGGGCGGTCACCGAACCTATACAAATGGCAACCCTTGGGGGCGGTCACCGAACCCATACACTTTGGCAACCCTTGGGGGCGGTCACCGGAACCCGTCAAATTGCTCGGGGTGATCTCCACAACCTAATTGGAGACCCTGACACTTTCCCGGAGCTTTACACCACAATGATTGAGCTCTGAACACTACCAACCATCTAGGGCCCCCAAGCACCCAAGAGGAACAAACTCAGGGGTACCAAGCACCCAAGAGTAATAAGCTTCTCAACTTCTAACTTACACGTACCACCGTGGAGAACTCAAACGGATGCACCAAATGCAATGGAAAGGGCACACGGAGTGCCCAAGTCCTTCTCTCCCCAATCCCACCCAAGCAACTAATGCTAGGGAGGAAAATGAGAGGAACAACAAGAAGGAGAACACCAAGG